GTATTTTGAAAATATTAGAAAAATTTCGAATCAATAAGGCAGCTCACTCTTTGATGCGAAAAGCAAAAATTAGCGTTTGTTTTGCTGCTTTGCTGTGCGTTTGAGCGAAACGACGCCATAACGGTGCCATACCTTTGTTGTAAAAAACTGCCGATTTTCGCTTAAAAGCCTTTTCAAATATCTCGAGTTTGTAGATTCTGAAGTTGTTTTAAATGAATGTTAAATAATCAACTGCGAGTCTTTAGAAAGCGTAGTGGTATACACAGATGTTGACCACTTTGATTTAAACGATGAATGAAAAAGTATTTTGAGTGCTTTTATAATCAAAAAAATTAAATTAGCGATGTACAAACCTTTGGGGGGTTGTCGTTAAAAAAGGGCAGTAAATGGAGATTTCTTATATCAAAATTCAATGGATATATATAGTTTTGCAATATATTTTCATTATTCTTACCATTCTTATTCTAACTGCCTAAGAATTTTCTTATTGCTTACTGAGATCAAAACGAAAAAGATAATCAGAATAAACGAGTAAGCATTCGAAATAAAGATAATCGAAGGAGGAAGGAATCGTCAAAAATTAAATCAATCTCCCAAGATCGATTCATATATTTTGTTAAATAACGTATTTTACTTTATTTTTATAAAGAAACAGAGATCAGACCAAACTTTTATTGTACATAAGTCATTTCTAAAACATACATACATACATTGTTCATAACGGTTTCAATATTTGAAAAAAGGGGTGAGATATGGTGTTTCTATACTAAGCCAATCATATGATCATTCAACAGAAACTTCATAATAGGCAACGAAATGACAAAAAATGTATCCCATTTTAAAAAGGCTATGTGGAAACAAACACAATGACACGAATAGTGTTTAATGCCCAATAGAGTGGTTCAAATTTTTGCGTTTAATGCCTTGTTTTGTTTTTTTTTTTAACACAAATGAGAAAAAAGTTTACGTTTTACTTCAAAATTAACTTCTATTTTAAGAAGTTGAATGCCGAATTTCCACTAGGCATTGAAATGACGAAAAATGTCAGCCATTTGAAAAAATGCCAGGTGGAAATTAACTTAATGACTATTTTTTTCACATGATATTTTTTAATGCCCAACTTTGTCATATGTAGGGGAAATCCAGCATAATGGAATTTATTTTTTATATGTATATATATTGTATGCAATGGGGCGTTTTTTAGTTTTTTATTTTGTTTTCGCTGACTTTATATTTCACCTAATTATCCTTTAAAAAATATATAAAAAGAGTTCTTAAGGTGTGAAAGATTTTATGAAAATTTGCATTAAGTTGGGAGTTACAAATTTTTGGAGTTTTTGTTGTATTATTAGCCATAATTTTGTATAGAGTTAATTTCAAGAAACTTCTCTGAGGAGCCCTATAATCGGATGGGAAAGGTCATTGAATTCATTGGTCTTTGCTTTCCCATGTATTTTTTTTTTGTATCAGTCAAAAATTCAAATGTCTTTAAATTTTTATAGATTTTCTGGGGCAAACCGTAGTTCAATAAAAATCGAATGTCGATTCCCGAATTTTTTTAATCGATTCTCGGATCGAATCGGAGCTAAAAAATCGACAAAAATCGAATAGGAATGGCTCGATTAACGATCTGCGATTTAGTCGATTTAAAAACGGCATCTCTAGTAAGCATTAAATGCATATGTGCAGTCAAATCTAATTTACTTAACAAACAATTATTGAATTTTTAGGGGTTTTTGGCGGACCTATACAATATAGTTACTATGAAAAAATGGTTAAATAAAAAATTGGGTATTATTACTGGGAGTCTCCTGAAGGGAAAAATTTCGATCGAAAAATATTGAGTTTCATGAATTCTATACCATTTCTACGAAAAGTTATTTTTCCCATATAAAATACATAGAAAACTTTAAGCGCATCGAGCGACCACTAAATATTTTTTAATTTATAATAAAAAGCAGGGGTATATTTTTTCGGTATAGAACAATCCTAGGGGGTGAGAGCATTAAAATTCCGACTATACTTTTTCCACATGCATTTTTTTACCACCCTAATGTAAATACTTGTGTTTTTTCATCCGAAAGCATTTTATGTATAATGGATATATACAGCGCGGGATTTCTATTATAACTTTGTATAAATCGGGATTTAGGTTATATTTGGATGGGATTTTATTAACCCATTCACTGGCAACACTGTGCGCTGCCCTCATTTGCTTACTCGCTCGCTGGCTGCTCAGCGCGTGCGCCAGTGATCGGACTTCCAAAAAAATGTGTGTGGTAGAATCTGGAAAAAAATGTGGTAGATTTCAAAAAAATGTGGTAGATCTCAGGTTTTGGATCAAACTTTGTACAAAAATTTAAAAAAAATCAAGATATTTTTCGAACATATTTTGAAAGATTTCTGCAACCTTGCGGAGTGCTGCTAGTTTTTCTTTTTATCGCATAACGATGTAGCGAACAAATGTGGCACGTTCCAGAAACCGCTACTTGGGATTTGCCGATTTTGACAATTCTCAAGTGAAAGTAAACAACGCTTTAGAAACTTTAGATGTACTGATATTTGCTAATACTTTCACGAAAATCGCCGTTTTTTAACATTTTCGCGATTAATTAATTTAGTTTTAATTTAATACAATAAAAAAACGTTTCCTGTCGAAAAATTTAATATTTTATTTACAGTTTATTTTTTAATCACATTCTGCCTGTTGTTAGTGTTTAGTGTTGGACAAATTTTGCTCTTAAACTTCAGAAAATTATGTCGACCAAAAATAAAACTACTCAAAAATGCGAATATGTGGTAGATTTCAGACCTTGTGTGGTAGATGTGGTAGATGCTCAAAAAAGTGGCAGATCTACCACAATGTGGTAGAAGCCGATCACTGGCGTGCGCTCATACTTAACGAGTGCTCGTTTGTAAACAGCGTCGCCTGTTGCTCGTGAGTTGCGCAAGCTCAGAGCAAACTAACGAGTGAGTGAGGGGCTAAAATGAGACAAATCCGAACCCTTCATATGTACAATATACGGTAAACTCTATCGAAAAAATATAGAAAAAGGTTTTTTCTTAACAGCGGTCATCCCTCGGCAGGCAATGGCAAACCTCCGAGTGTATTTCTGCCATGAAAAACAGCTTCTCATAAAAATACAATCGCCGTTCGGAGTCGGCGTAAAACTGTAGGTCCCTCCGCTTTGTGTGACAACATCAAGGCGCACACCACAAATCGGAGGAGAAGCTCGGCCAAACACTAACATATGTGTAAGCGCCAATCTATTATTATTATTACGGTAAACTCTATAAAATTGTGAAATCGTGACGTCTCAGCCTTCTTAATTTTTTTGCAACAAAAAGTTTTGAACTTTTTTATCGAAAAACCTTCCACACAGAATATATAAAAAATTACTTTTTACAGAATTGAAATTGGTTCATCTGTTTGGTCATCTGAAATACATTTCATTTATATATATATATATATT